CGGACCAGGCTCTCACATCACCAAGCGCGAAGCGCCGTGAGATATTCGGCGAGTCGCATGAAGGGTGCGCTGCATCCTGCTATGGGTGTTTGGCATCTTGTGCTTACTTCCTCTCGTACGGATGACAGCTGCGTGTGACTCAATTCATTTTCTGGTGCTTTCACTTCCAGAGACAGTTGTANGGGTGTTCGGCATCTTGTGCTTACTTCCTTGCGTACGGATGACAGCTGCGTATGAATTAATTTATTTTCTGGTGCTTTCACTTCCAGAGACAGTTGTAAGCACTGTGTAACTGCCTCGAGGGTGCTTGACCATTTTAACACAACGTGGTGCGATCATCCCCCTTGCGCGGAGTGAGGGTTCTCGACCTCGCACAACATGATCCACTCGATCACCCATTATGGTTACCGCCAAAAAAAAGAGGTAAAACAAAAAACGGTAACCTGGTTGCCGAGTTCACGAAGTGACTTGGCTTGTTTTACAACGTCGTTGCCAAGCGACGAAGACCCTAGGGGGAGGGGAAGGGTGGGTTGAGAATATTGCAAGCGCGGTTTCCCCCGGGGCGACTGACGGTCAACGTCGAGACCGTCGTTTCGTGATGCATTACTGCCTGAAACCTAACCCTGGGCTTCATGGACATCACGCCGCATCACAACACATCACGCATGACAGGACTGCCCCTGGGACAAGATGGTTTGCGCAGAGGCGGCGAGGGCGGGTCACCTTGAAGTGCTCAAGTGGGCCAGAGAAGCAGGGTGCGAGTGGGACGCCGGCTGCCTGACCTGGGCCAGCGGAGGGGGCGATCTTGACGTGATCAAGTGGTGCAAGGAGAACGGGTGCGAGTGGAACACGACCATGTGCGCTGCCGCAGCGAGGGAGGGCCACCTGGAGGTGCTGCAGTGGGCTAGATCCAAGGTGCGAGGGTGACATGAGTGCTTGTTGATCTGTTTCTTGAACTTCGGGGGAGGGGGGGGNAGGGTAGAGAGGGGCTCTTCTGTGAGACCACGGGTTGGAGTAAACGGCACCAGTGCTGTGCGCGCTGATTTGAAGTGAAGACAAAGAAAAAAAAGTACATCTCGTACATTGCAAGAGCTGGGCGCCAGACGAGCATGCCTCATCACGGCGTAAGGATAAGCTAACCTTGCAACGTCTTTGCCGTGGAGGGGGGTGTTCAACCTCCGTGAATGTTTTGCCCCGGGTTTCCACGTCTAAACCTAATGGCTGATACTCTTCTAAAATGCACGCACGCCAATTTAGCCGAACAATCCACGTTCACTTGAAAAATCGAACCACCACAAAGACGCTACATCCGCCGGGAACAACTCCAGTTCCATACCGTTCACATGGAACCTATATGGGGGAGTGACCCTCACCCACAACCCCACTCACAACAACAACATCAACTCCTGTAAGCCAACAACACCAATAGCCCTTCGTGTCCAAATCCCCTCCGTTTCGTCTAGCCGTAGTCCCAAGGGATCGATGCGATCTTAACGCAAAATCAACCCCCACCACGACAGCCGCCAAACCCAGCACCACACCTTCACAGGCAGATAGGCCAGGACTGGGTAAATCAACCGCGAGCCTACTTCAAGGCGGTTCGGAGGTTACCATCATCGACCGAGCTAATCGGGTTAAAGTCCGCCGGCCGCGACCCACCTCGAAATTTTCGGTACGCCGAGTCGTACCGTGCTCGGTCCTCGGCCGACAGCGACGGTCGGGTGGACAAGAACGCCGCCCACACATTGTCGGCGGAGACCTCCACCCCCCCTCTCTTCTCACCTCGAATCCCGCCATCTCTATGTCTTGGGGCTGGAAGTTCGACGCCGTCGCTGGCGCCGCTAGCGGGAACGTTCGCCAAAGCGTGGATCCCTGGCCCATTCTCCGAACTGTGCTCAAAACCGTTCCCAGTTTCGTTTGCTGAGCCGTTCTGGAGAACGATTTTTCCGTCTGCTGCCTGTGCCCAATTTCCCGCTTCCGTTCTTCCGCGTTCCTCCGCCGCTGCCCCTTCCCAGGAAGGCTTGAGGTCCAGCGCCAGCGCTTCAGTTGACGCTCGTACCCTACTGCTACCGCTACCACGGCTAATGCCACCGTCGGTCGCAGTACGCTGCGTTACTTTGCCAAAGCCCTTGGTGCTGCTGCCCCCCCCCTCCAGCTTGGGCGATTCATCGCTGGTTGGGTGGAGGGCCTGCAGAGAGGAGGTTGATCACCGCAAACAACACCAAGTAGCGAGGTGAAGTCAAACGAAAACAGTAGCAATGAGGTGCGGGGGGTAGAAGGAGTTGGTGCCGGGGTGTGACGACCAAGGAAAACAGCGTTCACTACCCCCAACCGGCGAACAAAACGTCTTCACTCCACCGTTGACCTACCACAACACGTTGGTGCCACTAATCACCCACAACCAAACAACCAAACAGAAGGAGCGAGGCTGACGTAGATCTACCTGCACATCCGCCGCGCTTGCGCCCCTCCCCGCCTCAAAGCACACGTATTGCAAAATCCCGAGCTTCGAGGTCAACGCAGTCAGTCGGTCCGCACGTGGTCCCAGTTTCAGGCCGACTTAACCTATAGACGAAACCGTGCCCAAACATAAGTCACCTTCTACATCAAGATGCGAGGCTGATGCTGAGCGGTGCCAACCATCGCCTGCCGATCCGACATCCGACACCCTGCCCTAGCCGACAATCAAATTAATCAATTCAGCAACAACGACCATTGCTACAACAAGCCCGCCCTCCCGCGACCATACGTTTCTCCTCTTTGAGGCACTTTGCCCTACGGTTGCCGCTAAGGTAAAACAGAGGGTCCGGGCAAAACCAAAAAGGACTCTCTTAGATCTGGGTGTTCTCCGAACCGCACTCCTTGCAATACATTTTTCTCGTTGTCTGGACAAGCCACTTTAGCTTTCCAACTTTCGTACGTTATATTTCTTATCCTCTCTTGAACGTGGTCACTCTCTGCACCTCTAGGTACGAGTGTATCGCGGCCAGCTGAGCGGTGTCGATGACAGCCTGCAGGTCTGCCCCCGTGAAAGCCGCGGCCTTTGGAGAGGTGGCCACCCCCGCGAGGGCGAACTCGCGAGCTTCCCGAGACATTGGTGTCCTTCGGCACACCTGGAATCAGGGTTAAGCGTAGGAAGGACGGGTTCAACGCGGAAAACGGTACGTTGCATTGTAGTGGCAATACAATGGGTGTAGGGAACGCGGTGAAAACATAGCTCTCGCCTTTCATGGGCGCGAAAAAAGCGAGCCAGATCCCGCCGAATTTTTCATGAAAATCGCAGAATGAATCATTGATAAGGGGACGTGGTATGCGCATTCTTGCCGAACGGGGGGATCCGTCCGCCTGGCACATCGCACTTATATACGTGTTAAATGGGTTCAATACAGACAACAATATCGACTAGACTACCACCAGCACGCGGAACATATGCGGACAACCAACGCCGGCAAGAGTAGTGGCAACTCACCACGGCTTATCATCCCGCCAGGGCACAACCTCCTCGGCGTTGCGCTTCAAAGGGATGCTCCCAACACAAATACTATCGTGCCAAACATAGCCCCCAGAAAAAAAAATGGTACACACAGATAAAGTTAGGACTGGTATCACAGTTAGCCGGTGACCGCGGGATTCGACCGCGTCAGGTGTTGGATCAGTACTAATGAAGGCACTGTGCAGAGAGATTGAATCGGTTGATAATGTGACAATACCAAGAACAACAACAACAACAACAACAACAAGGATTCACCGCGCGGAGAATGTCTTCCCGCTCGGCGGCGTCCGGGAAACCGCAGTACAGCTGCCGGTCGAGTCGGCCCGGCCTGAGGAGGGCCGAGTCGATGAGGTCCGGCCGGCTGGTTGCCCCGAGGACGTAGACGCCGTCCCTTCCTTCGACCCCGTCCAGAAACGTCAGCAGCTGGTTCACCACTCGGTCGGTCACCTTGATGATGGGACGTGGCGACAGCAGCAGCATCAGCATCAGTCGTATTGTCAGCATCATTAGCAGCAACCAGCAGCATCAGCGTCAGTATCATCATCGGTGCCATCAGCAGCAGCATCCAGAAGTAGCAGCAGCAGCAGCCGTAGAAAATCAAAAGAGAGAGGGAGCCACACCTCTGTGACAGTACAATATCAGTCGACGACGAATCGTAGACCAACGACGGAGAGTTTTCCACAGGATAGGAGCTGATCCCCCTCGAAGCCTGCTTCGGCCAGAACGTCTCGTCGACGCAGAGTATACAAGTGCAGCGGGAGCCACAAAACAGGGGCGTGTAGATGCGAGAGCACCTCCCAAGCACGCCCATATTACCTTACTGGGAGCATGTCTACGACCTCGGGGGAAAAAAATCATATGTATCTCGCAGTTCGATTACCAGCGGCGGCAGCACCCGCGGAGCTCCCCCCCCAAAACGGGGTTGTCACCGGATCCTCCCCGTGGATCCCCACCCTTACCCCGGTGTTATCGTTGCCGCGGCGCGGAGCCACAGCCTCGAACTCGTCGAAGAACAGTACGCATGGAGCGGCGGACGCGGCCCTGGCGAACAGAGACCGAACCGCTTGCTCGCTGGCGCCGATGTACTTGTCCAGTACTTCTGGGCCTGGCGTGTCACGTTAAATCGATCGCATCACCCAGTAGCGGGGGCGGCGACAGACAGCAGTCGCGTGGATAAGGCGAATCGGAGTAGATGTGAGTGTGGTCAAGAAGTAGACCAAGGAAAGAGGGGGGGATTTCGGGGGAAGATGGTTGCTGGGGTCATGCGGGCGGTTGCGAGGAACAAATATCCTATTCACAACACCACCCATACCGAAAGAAAGGTCCTTCGGCACACTAGGCCTGAGGCGCGCTGAGAAGGAAAGCTACACGTAGCGGCCCTCCTCATCCCTGCAAGGCCTTGAGTGCTAGTAACATGCTGTAGAGAGCTGGAAGCGGGGACCCGAAAGAAAACAGAAAGATTGAGAGCTGAATGTGCTCATATATAGCCGAATCCAGGGACCCTGCATCCTGGAATCGTGCACACATTGCCCCAAACTGCTATTTGCAATGGTATAACGCCGCGCGGTCGACCCAATTCACGATACTGATACCTCTCGGTCCAGTGGAAGTGATCTCTCCGACATTCCTCACCCTTGACGCTGATAAAATTCAGGCCGCACTCAGCAGCCACGGCTCCAGCCAGCAGAGTCTTGCCGCAGCCCGGCGGGCCGTACAGAAGCGCCCCCGTCGGGAGACGTGTAGGCGTGGCCTCGAACAGCCGGCCGTACTTGACGGGAAGCTTCGTACGACGTGTTTACGGGAAGATCCATTCACAGTAGGTGGAAACCAGGGGGGGAGGGGTTGTGGAAAGATTATTGTTGACGGGGTTACAGGAAGATTCTTCATGGGGACGAGACGCGGCGGGAATCTCCTAACGTTCTCGTGTTCCCGTCCATTGCAAAACGAGCAAATTGCAAAGTGAGGACAGACAACACTTCGCAAAGCGCTGAAAACGAGCTCCCAAAGCAGCGAAGCACAAGCCGAGCAGCAGCAGCAGCAGCACAGTGAGCGAACCGGGCAGGTGCGCCGACAGAAACACGGATGCCAAAACAAACAAGAGGCCATAAACATGCACACCTCGAGAATCTCCCGCAGCTCCGAACGGACCTCCCTCAACCCCCCGACATCACCCCACTCCACGCTTGACCGGAACAACCCTGCCCCCCGTAGCGACTCGGCAGAAAAACCCTCGAGCGCAGCCTCCAGGTCCTCCATGTCGACACCGACCCCGCTTCCACCCCCCAGGTGCGCAGCCCCCTGTGGGTCTCGCGCATGGCCGCTGCTGCTGCCCTCCCCCGTGTCACCAACCGTCACATGCCGTAAGTTTCCACTGGAAGAGCGATGGTCAGCTCGATAGGTGGCGGGCGGGTGGTAGTAATGACTGCCGTTTGTGAAAGCTCCGCAAGGAGCGTCGCCGTTCAATGTGCTGCCGTCGTGACCTCCCTTGCCGCAGTCGCCGCCCTCGACCCTCACGGTGCCGCTATTGATCACTACTCTCGAAGGCGACAGCGCCGTGCGTTGCCGGCGACGGTGCTGGTGCTCCCTTGCGGAGGGGACTGCGAGGGCGGAAGAGATGGTGACTTCCGTTTCGGCTTCCTTCATTCGCCGGAGAGCGGAGTTTAAGACCGCCCTGTAGTCGCGAAGCACACGCAGCGAGGGGTTGCAGAGAATGAAAGGAGGTGCAGACATTGAGGCAGTTCCCACGTGGACGCTATGAAACCTATCCGTCGGGCGACATCTTGATTGGGTACGCGACGCACGCGACACCTCGTGCCAGGGGCATGGGTGGATGCCACAAATAACGTGATAGTCCGATCTGTTACGAACATGGGAGCCTGTTGCCCCCCCCCCCCCGGAAGTTTCGGGTGGCCGGTTATCCTACACTCGCACACCGTCCGTCCGCTTCGTCCCCTGTCCCGTGGACGAAACCCAACAGCTCCGCAAACCCCACACAGCACCCATACGTGCTTGCGAGGCGTGTGCCATGATGAAAGCAGGAAAAAGAGGACGGGTAATAGTCTCCACCAAACACAAAACTGAAAACCGCACCTCTTCACCAGCTTCGCTAGGTCCCTGGCTTGGCACCCCTCCGTCTTGAACGACAGGTACTCCCAATCGATGCCTCCATCATCATCATCATCATCACCATCACCATCATCTTCTTCCAATGCCTCCTTAGCGACGTCGAGCTGATAGCCTTCTATGGTCCCGCGCCCCTAAACGCGACAAAGAAAAGGAGAAAACCAGGACAGCGGGGTAGAGCAAGAGGGGTAAGGAATGAAGTCGAGGAGAATGGAACATAAACAATCTAATTTGTTCTTCTGTCTAGCGTGACTGGGAGATTCCTCCTCCTTTAGTCTCCAACCTGGCTCCAACCATGACACGCCTTCACCCTCTCTCTGAGACGAGTCACCCTTTCACAGCGACCTTCGCCAGTTGTCAGCATTCATGACATATTGTCCAAACATTATTTTCTCTGCTTGGGTATTCCTCCTCCTCTACCCCCGCTCTCTCCTGCTTCCAGCAGACATGTCTAGATCATCACCACCGTTTTTTCCTATGGTTAGCGTGGTTAACGTTTGGGAAAGTCGAGGCGGGAGATAGTGGGAGACGAGACCAGCAAGACGCGATCGTGGAGGTAAACAAACGACCCACGTGCAAACTCACCAGCACGAGAAAAAGTTAAACTGACGCGTGATCAAGGAGGAATACCAACGGTCGAACCGCATTCTTGCGCCAAAATCAGCATGCGTGATCGTCGAGGGAGGCACACGAAAGGAACACATTCGCGGTGAAGTCAGGCAGGCGTGATCCTGGAGCTAATAAGACCACCCTTGCATGTGCCAGCGCAAAAAATGTGGTCAACGGTGGTGCCGCCCCCCACGCGGCGTGCTCCCCAAGCGAACTTTCGGAAATCATGCTGGAGGGGCACAATAAAGCTGACGACGCCAGCATCGTTTCGACTCACCCCGTGTACGTGAGACCCGGCCGCAGCAGCAGACCCTGCAGCCCCCAGCCCGCGCAACAGAGACTTGAGCATCGACGCCCGGGCCGCCGGCCTCGGGGGCGGAATCTCCACCTGCGTAGCAACGCATGTTGGCCGTGATCGTGTGGTCGTGCTGCGGACCAGCTTCGATTACAGCAACAATAACGTGGAACACATGTCCTAAAGATAGCACCTACCAACACGACAGCGGGAAATATCCACACCCCAATACATTGCGCTCTCTACAGCGACCAGTACCAGGGAGCAAACACATGCGCCCGCGACATTCGAATCTCTGCTGCAAACAACACGCCGCGGCGGATACGAACAACAACGCGTGTTGGCCGTCGCACCAACACTACGTGATCCATGGAGAAAGGACTTTCGTGCGGCAAGGCCATGGAGCGTGGAAGCTGGTGAGATAACACCCAACATGACATGAACGGCACATCTTTCGTTGCGCGAGGAGGCATCGGTTTTACTGAACCTTGACATGCATACGTGTAGCCTCTTCTGGGTTTTCGAGTGCCGTGGAAAATCGTTTCTGCGGCATTCTTGGGCAACGTAAAGGAGGCACTTGACAAGGGCAAGCACGTTCTTGGGAGTGGATGACGACAACGACGCTCACAACACCAGCAGTGCTGATACGCAAGCTGAGCATGCTATATTCTTGCCGTCATGGCGATGATATTAACGTTGTCATCGTCGCCCTTGGCGTACACGTCCCTGAATCCTTCCCGATCTGTTGGACACAGAGAGGAGTCTTTGTCGGTCGCAAAAAAAAACTCTGAACCATCAAGACGATGAGCGGACCAACTAACCTGTGCGTCAAGCATGCCGGAGCGCGTGAGGCGCGGGTTGAGGGCGGCAACCGAACCCACAGTCGCCAGGACGCCCACGGCCGCCGGGCCTCCTGACGCTGGATACACAAAGGCAAAACAAACACGGGCGAGAAACATGGGCAGCAATATCAGCAAATAAAGATGGCCATGTTAGCGAAAACGACAGGATGAGCAAGGACAAAGCAAAAAGCAACGGCAAGGACAAGAACGCGAGAGTCTCGCTTACCTTTTCTCCGAGACGCAGCATAGAACGAAAAGAACCATACCAGCGAAAGCACACCGAACCAAGAAAATGGCGAGCATCCCCAAACCACACACGCAATCAGAGGCGTTCTCCTTTACTAGCCGCACGCACTGTCGGATTTTCATGGCTCAGCCGGTCAGCGCGGTCGATTCTACAAACCCGGGTTTCCCCCACTGATCTCGGGGCGTTTCGCGACTTGGACAGATGAACAACAAACAATATATCAAATTCGGTGATGAAAAGGCAAACAACCACGATGGTACACATAGACCAGAGCACGTTTCGCACGCTCGAACCCACCCTGTGTCAGGAGGTCCTCCAGCCGCTCCGCAATACGAGCGGCCTGTGCGTTGAACGCACCGGCGCCCTCGTCCCCCTCAGCCGGAGCAATTTTGTCCAGATCGTCCAACACTACCAGCGATGGGGCGTGGCGTCTGTATTACGTACAACACGTCGCGGTTGCAACCAGGTTTGGT